GTCAATCCGGAATCACCCAGGGAATGCAATGGGGGGCCAGGCCGGATCCCGATCTCAGCTCCCCCGGGGTCAATCTGGAATCACCCAGGAAATGCAATGGGGGCCCAGGCCGGATTCTGATCTCAGCTCCCCCGGGGTCAATCCAGAGTCACCCCCAATTGCAGCGGGGCCCGGGCTGAATTCAGATCGCAGCTCCCCGCGGGCAATCGCTGCTTTAGGTGTGCCCAGCCCCTCTCCCAGGCGGCCTCACCTGGGGGATGAGGTACCCCCGGAACCGGGTGTCTCTGGTCACGGTGTGCGGGAGGCTCATTGGCAGGATGTCGCTGAAGCGCTGGATCTCGTGCAGCGTGGCATCCGTGTACGGCATCCTGCCCCGGTCCTCCACGGTGGGCGCTCGCTCGCTCCCGATCACCGCGTCAATTTCCTGATGGATTTTCTCTTGCGGGGGCGGGAGAGAGGGGAATTAGCAGCCGCACAGCGGGGGGCAAAGCTCCGCGCTGGGCGGGGCCGTTACTGGACTATAACGCAGGCACCTAGCCACGGTCTCGGGGTGGCTCGGCCCTTGGCAGGGAGCTGCCCGCTGGGCATTTATGGCCCTATGGGGTCAATTCCTCACCTCAGCCTCATTCCGCTGAAGTCAGTGGAGCTGCAGCTGGGCTCTCTGGGGGGTTTGCCCCAAGGGGAACGGGGAAATCTCGACTATGCCGGGGAAATGTTTCCTGCCATTCTTAGGGCCGCTTCTCCGCCTTACCTTGGACCTGCGGGTGTTTCAGCAGGATCAGGAAGCCATAGCGCAGGGTGGTGCTGACAGTCTCAGTCCCGGCGAAGAATAAATTGAAGGTGGTCATGACTAGGTTCTCCAGGGAAAACTCGGTAGCTGGATTCTGCTTCTCCTGGAGAAAGGTAGAAACATCACCATCCCGCCTAGCTCCTATCCAGTACTTCCCCTCCAGGGCTGTACCAAGGCGGTCAGTACCATTATCCAGATGGGCAAATGGACGCACAGACGGGGAGGTGCCGTTCCCAAAGTTCACCAAAGGAGTGGCAGACTGTGTCCCAGTCCTGGGCTCTAACCACTAGGCCATGTGGCCTCCTTAAAGGGTCCTGCTAGCAAAGGTCCCTCCTTTAGGATACAACATTCTCAGTGGCTGCAGTTATTGGTCCATCCTGCTGATTTAACACCCTGGCAGAGCATGTGTCCTGTCTCAAGGCTGGTCCACAGATAGGATGACAACCTACTACTGCTGCCAGCAAACAGGATTACTCCTGAAGCTCACGGAGTTGAGAGCTGAGCTGAAGGTTTGAAGTCAAAACCCTGCTGCCAAAAAAATGGGAAAGGGTTTGTTTTTTTCCTCATTAAAAGAAAAAGTTTCAAGGAAAGCAGGCGTTTCCCACAGAAAGATCTGTGGTGTTGGAAACTGAATTTATTGCTAGAATAGAAAATTCCAATGAGAAGTTTTCAACCGACCCCAGTAAACTCTTAGAGTAATTACTCAAGCAGAGCCAAATTTTTCGGATGAAAATGTTCACCCCAAAAATGCAGATTGGGAGTCAACCGAAACACGCAGCAAATTCACGTTGAATTTGCCCAATTGTTTCAGCCAATAAAAAATTCTGAAAAAACATTTTCAAAACAAAGCGTTTTGATCTTTTCCGTCAACAACGGCTTTTCATTTGTTCTAACGGTTAAAAGTCTGAAGTGAATCCGTCCGCACGACCCATCATTAAAGTCTCAAATTGTTTTCAGTTTGCCAACAAATTCCCATTTGCGGTCAGCCAGAAATGAATTTTGTTCTTGTTTTTGGGGGGAGAGTTTTGGCCTAGTCGGTAATCGGCCAGTCAAGCCAGCAGGTTTAACTCTGCTCCCCACATGGGGGCAAGATTGGCTGGCGAAGGAGGGGCACAGTTTACAGTCACTTTAAAGAGCCGAGCTGAGGTCTGAGGCCAGGCCCTGTTGTTAATTACCTGCTCCATTTTAACCAAGAAGCAGTCGATGAAGTTCTGGGGGGCGTTGAGGTCCAGGGTCGCCTGCTGCAGTTTGATTCTCTCTGAAATAAAGCGGATTATCTCCTGGGAGCATTTGCTTCCCACGTGGTGAGGCCCAGGAATCTTCTCCAGGATGCCAGGGAAGGCATTGTACAGCTGTAAGGAAGGAAATCCAGCTGTTTAATCAGATCAGATTTCACTAGGGGGTCATGTCCCTCACTAGTGACTGCTCCGCATTGAGGGTAACAACCTACTATTTCTGCTGCTTCCCAGTGCCATCCCTTTCCCTGCAGTGGTGGGGCCTGTGCTCTGGGGCTTAAGTTTGGGGGTTCTGATCCTGCTGCTGCCCCATAGGGGAGGCTGTGTTTCATTAGCTCTTTTATGCATTGGATTATTAGAGAACCACCAGTCCCAGCTAGATACCTTAGACAACGTAAATGGGTGACTTTGGCCTGATTTTGTTTAATAATAATTAGATCATCTTCAATTTGTGCCGCACCCTCCACCTCAGCTGCCTTCACAAATTTGATCTGAAATACACGGTATCATCGGTCGGTAAAAATCCAGCCATCTCTGGGGTGGAGCCTGCAGCTTCGCTCTTCCAGCATTGAAATGCAACCGCTTCTGAGGCGGGGGGCAGCAGCTGTTTATAACGGGGTGTCACGGAGTCCCCGGGCGATGCTCTGGAACTGCTCCCCACAAAGCCAGTCAGGACTTTGGGGAGCCTCCTCTCCCTCGGAGCAGACTGTCTTCAGGGCAAGAAGCTCACACGGCTTCACCTCCTGGGTCTCTCCTGGGAGCATTCAGCATATGCCCCTCCGTGCGCTTCCCACAGCGATTCCACCCCGGCGGGGTCCTGGGGAAGCCAGAGGGTCCTGCACCCCCCACTTCGCAGTCAGACGTGACTCTCGGCCAGCCAGTAAAACAGAGGTTTATTAGACCACAGGAACATGGTCTAAAACAGAGCTTGTCGGTCCAGCGAACGGGTCCCCTCCGCCGGGTGCATTCTGGGGCCCAGCGAGGCAGACCCCCGTCTGCCCTCCCTTCCAGTCCCCAGCTAACTTCAAACTCCAACCCCCGTCCAGCCCCTCCTCTCTGGGCTTTGTCTCTTTCCAGGGCCAGGAGGTCACCTGATCCCTTTGTCTCCAACACCTTCAGTTGGCACCTTTGCAGAGGAGGGGTCCAGGCCATCAGTTGCCAGGAGACAGAGTGTCGGGCATTTATGTGCACTGGCCCTTTGCTCTGCAGCAACCATACACCCTTATCCCAGCACCTAGAGACTTAAGAACTGCATAGGGGAAACTGAGGAAAACATTAAGAACAGTCCCACTTCGTCACACAGGGCCCCCCACACAGTGCTGTGATGCAGCTGCCTCCGAGGTTAGGGAAAATGGGGATTACTTGCCCAGCACTAAAATGCAGCCACGTCTGGGGTGGAACACGGCAGCTGCTTAGCAGCAACAGTTTAGGACAGGAAGTGAGGATGGGGAATTTTTGTACGGGGCGGAAGGGGATTGTAACTAGCCAGAGCTCTGGGTTGACGCTCATTTCTGATCACTGGACGGTTCAGTTCTGGAAGCCCGGGGGAAATTGCCATGGACGGGGATCCGGGTCCCTGCCGGCCATACCTGGGCCAAGGCTAAACCTGCGAAACGGAACCGCTTGAATATGAGCTTGTTCAGGGTGATGAATTTCTCGTCCTCGTAGTCAAAGCGGTTCCCGAAGACAATGGAGCAGATGACGTTGGAGACGGCCCGGCTCAGGTTAAAGATGGGATCAAAGGGTGCCCCTAGTGGAAAGGAAGGACAGAGCAATGGGACCGGGCCAATGCTCTCCGCATATTTCAGGGGAACGGAGAGAGACAAACTGCCCAGACCTTGGGTTTTCCAGAGCTCCTCCACCAGACACTGGGCCTCCTCCTGGATCCGCTCCTCGATGGATCGCTTCCCCATGCCGAAGTTCCGCAGCGTGGTGAGGGAGAATCGGCGCATCTGCCGCCACCGCTCCCCGTTGGCAAAAACCACCCCTGGCAAGCGGATGATGGAGAAGCTTAGCGCTTTTCGGGAGGTGGATGGGAAATCGGGCTGTTCACACACACACACACACACACACACACACACACACACACACACACACACAGAGAACATCACATGTACAGAGAGAAAATCGGGCTGTTGACACACACACACAAAATTCCGCTTTTGTCAAAAATGTCGAGGTTTTGGCAGAAAGCCGAAATCCCAACCGCTTCGATTCTTCGTGCCACCTGGTGCCTCATGGGAGATAGATGTAGTGCAGGGAGGGAGCCCGGCCCATGAGCGCATGAGACGCCCATACTACATCTCCCAGGATGCACCTCGGTTTTGGTGCGGGGGAGGTGGCACCTCATGGCAGTTGCGTCGCCATGGTGCATCCTGGGAGATGTAGTCCATCTCTGTTTTCTGCAGAAAACAGACACTTTTCATAAAACATTTTAATAAAAAAAAACCCGTTTGCCATGAAATCGCAATTTCAAGAGGGAATTTTTGACCAGCCCCACGCTTTTCATTGGGTTACAGTCACGAACCGCTAACGAGATCTTCTTCCCCCAACACACAGGCAGCTCATTGCCAGGGGTGTTGTAAAGGCCAAAAGTACAACGGGGTTCAACAAAGAACTGGATCAGTTCCTGGAGGACGGGCCCATCGAGGGCTATTAGCCACAAGGGTCAGGACACAGCCCCCAGGCTCCTGGTGCCCCTCG